TGAAAGACCTCAGCGCTGACAGTGCTTTGCCTCATATTGTGCCTGTGCGTCTGCTGCTACAACCTCCTGTAGTTTGTCAGGCAGCTCCTTCCTTCCAGACCCGGCAACCATCTCAGTAACATCCCAGTGGAGCGCTGGGTGTGTATCCATCAAGAAGGGAGCAGCCCAGAGGCATCTGTCCCTCAGCCTGTAAGTGGTATTGGAATAGTATTGAGATCTATGTAATTGGATTAGACCCACCTTAGTCCCCCCTCTATTCCACCAGCCTCCTCTGTGAAATCGGAACTTAAGAGCATTGACAATGTTCGTTTTTGTTGTGCTGCGGCTGATGGGAATGTAACATGATCTCTGTCTGTAGCTCCTGGCCTCATCTCCGCTCCCCGAGGCTGGGAAAATCCCAGCAGCAGCCTGACTGACAGCTCCACTCTGCCTGCCTTTGACTGACAGCGCACAGGATGTTTGTGAGGTTCTGGTTCTGAGGCTCAGGCTACTGTGGTGATCATATGGAGCCTCGCGAAGAGGCCCACAGGAAGCGCTGAGGGCTCAGATCAGTCTGGGAGGTCCAACACACCTGTTCGGCTTTATACACATCACAGGTTAGGTGGAGGGCTGTGTTCTCTGGCTGATCTCAGTTAAAAGGCCTGACACACACACACACACACACACACGTAGCTGCACTCAGGTGGAGGCCTGTTGCTCACACGTCACTGCAAAGAAAATCATACAGACAGCGCTGGTGCATGCAGTGTGCATTACACAAACACAGGCTGTTCTCAGCTGCACGTTCATGCATTGAGAGTAGAGACACTACAGCGAAAGAGATATTATCTGTTTGACAATTTAGAGAAAAAAAGTTGCTCAATTTAATGTGTCGTCACAGGCTTCCATGATCCACATTACGAACGTAACATGATGACCAATGATTTGACTTATCATCAAAATACTCCAAAAATTGTCTAGCGTCCCGAGACGTTCAGTGTTTCACATGAATGGCGACAAAAGAAAAAAACATGAATCCAAACGGCAAAGCAAATACATATACACACTTATATAAGTGCCTGCCATGAAAATGATATTATCACGCTCCTTAACATTTAGTGCTCAGTCCACACAGAGACACTGAGACCTACAGTTGAACAGATGAACAAATGACTAATCTGTTACTTACACCATTTGTGAATGAACCAAAACATCTTTCTCTGCATTATGTTCTGTAAAATACGCTTTCATAACTGACATGTGAATGCAGCATCTGTGATGGGCCAGTCTTGACTGATAAAATCAACTAATCATTATTATCAGTCAGGAAATCTTATTATCAGCTAATCTGATGTCCATGTAACAAATACACACAATGACTCCATGTGTTTGCTTCAGTTCACAAATCCACTGAGATGAGCAAATATTTCAACAATGAAAGGATTTTTTTTTTTTTCCCTGTGTCACATTTCGACCTGCTTCAGAAAACAAAGGGATTTATATAAACTGTCCAGCGGCAACATGGAAGCCTGTCAGCCGACCTGGGTTTGTGTTACATTTTAATTTTTGGCGACTGCAACTGTGGAATCAGATCATTATTTGAGAAGATCGCTGCAGCCAGAGGGAAGAGAGGGAGAGCAGACAGGGACTTGGAGTGGAAGAGATTGAGACGAGTGAAGGGAAGGAATAAACAGAGGGGTTTGTTTTTTCAAAATCTAAAGTCTGCTTATGTTGCTTCTATTTTTAGAGTAAAGGCAACAGCGAGTACATTGCACTTTAAATTATATATTTTCAGATATTAGATAACTATTTCATTACGCTGTATTTTTCTGAGCAAAATGTGGACATTTCATCTGAAATGCAGGAAATAAAAAAACCATGTTGTGCTCATTAAACTGCCTTTTCCAACATTTGCATTTCACAAACTGTATCTTGTCCGTGGCAGAAATAATTCCAGCTGCGTTGCCAAAGCAGGTTTAACAACTAAATGCTCACCTCCTGGATTTGGGGGTTTCTTTCTGTCCCGTTCCCGGCTGCACAAACACAGTATTTAAATGACTAAAATGTGTTAGTAATTAAGGAATTAAGGTTTAAGCAACTAAATCCAAAGCAATGAAAAATGCTTCCCTCCCCACTTTATATCAGTAACTGAGTATTTAGAGTCAGTGTGTATTTTCTCATTAGTAACATAAACATGAATTACAACGAATCACCCGCAGCAGTATTTAAATAGGTTGCAAAGAATAATTTCTTCCTGCACGCGCACACAAGCCTGCGCATGTACACACACACACACACACACGTTCACCTCCTGTTTTTTAAACGTGTGGCAGGGAATATATGGGACTAAATAACCATTACAGGGGGTAGAAACAGCCTGGAATATAAAACGCTGTCAATACAGCGCTGAGCAGAGTTTGAGACCTTCTTATCTACAGACTGCATTAAGACATGGCTTTCACTTTTCTCCTCGTATGAATAATAAGTCCACATGAATTTATTCGCATACTGTCTTGAATTTTTAGTTCTAGTGAAAAAAGAAAATCCTAACCTACTAAAATGAAACGCATTAACTTGTTGGAGACGTCTTGTTGAGGTTTGTACTCTATGATGACTAATGACTCCCTATTTCTTTGCGTTCATCATTTCCTTTTTGCAATTTTTTTTCTCCTTGCTTTCTTTTAGTTTTCTCCCCAAACTCTC